CAGAGTAACAGCAGTAGCAGTGTAATAACAACTGTAATAATAAAGAGGATAATAATAATAATAATAATAATAATGATAATAATAATAATAATAATAATAATAATAATAATAATAATAATAATAATAATAGTAGTAGTAGTAGTAGTAATAATATATAACAGTAATAGGAGTATTGATAGTAATAGAAATAGAAATAGATATAGAACAGTAATAAATGATTGATAATAATGATGATAATAATAATTTAATAATAATAACAATAATAATAATAATAATAATAATAATAATAATTAATAACAATAATAGTTATAATAATAATTAATAATAATAATAATGATGATGATAATAATAATAATAGTTATAATAATAATAATAATAATAGTAATAATAATAATAATAATAATAATAACAATAATAATAATAATAATAAACAACAACAACAATAACAACGACAACAATGATAACAACAGTAGTGCCAATAGAAATGGAAATGGAAATGGAAATAGAAATAGTAATTGTAATAATAATTGTAATAATAATGAAAATATCAATAACAATAAAACAATAACAATAATAATAATAATAACAAAAACACCACCAACAACAACAATAAGAGTAATAAAAACAACAACAGTAATCAAGACAATAATAACAATAATAACCATAACAAAACAATACCACCCCCACACCACCAACAAATGCCCGATAAACACACCAACATCATCTCCAACAGCGCCCGTTACCTGCCCGACGCTGCACGAACTCCGCCCCACTCTCCCGCGCCGGATTTGCGAGTCAGAATTTCGTTCGTCCAATGCGGGCGGCGGGGCGGTGGGGTGGGGGTGAGGGGGGGTGGGGGTGGGGGGGGTTGGGGGTAGGGGGGTGAGAGGGGGAGGAGGGGAAAATAGATTCATCCAGCGAAACACACGATTGCATATTTGAAAATCATAAATAATTTTTTGTTTATTTTATTTTTAAATATCTATTTCTACATTCATATGGGAGGGGGGAGAGGGGGTGAGGGGGGAAGGGGAAGAGGGGGGAAGGGAGTGGGAGGAGGAAGATGAGGAAGCGGGAGAAGAAGAAAAGGAAGAGGAGGAGGAGGAGGAGGAGGAGGAGGAGGAGGAGGAGGAGGAGGAGGAGGGAGGAGGAGGAGGAGGAGGAGAGGAGGAGGAGGAGGAGGAGGAGGAGGGAGGCGCGAGCGAGGGAGGGGGAGGGAGGGTATTTAACAGTCGCGCTGCACCATAATCAGAATCAACGAACGATCACATTTGCATCCATCGCGCTTGCGGTCCGAAAGTCCGCCCGTCATATTTTCCTGCCCGGTCCGACGCCTCCGCCCACGCCCACGCCCACGCCCGGCTGAACCCCACCAAGGCCCCCACAGCCTCCAAACCCATTCCCGTCGGCGCCCGAGACCCGACGCTTGCTGTGACGTCGCGCGGGGGCCAAAACAGTGCTACAGGGCTCCAAGTCGCTAAGGCTTCGAGACCCCACGAGGAAAACACGCGCCGAGAAACCTTCCTTGCTTCGCCTCTCCCTGGGGGGGGGGGGGGGGCCGTTCTGTCCCAGGGAAGAGAGGAATTCTGCGCTTACATCATCGTCATCCTCTCGTGTTGCTAGGTTCGACTTCCGCGTGAATCTCCTCCGACGTCTCGCCCGAACGCGCCCCGGGGTATTCAGCACTATTTCTGCCCGACACTCGATCGGCTCTCACTCGTGGGAAGTTTCAAACAACATTTGCATATGAAAAAGTTTCACGGGGTAAAAAAAGCATCGTTCCCTTTCTGCTAACTTATCTTTTTATCATTTTTATATATTCTCCTTCCCTTACCACCTCTGTCTCCGTCTCTACTTCCCTCTCCCTCTACTTCCTCCTCCTTCTCCTGTTAGCGGTTAGCGTGTTGGTCCAGCCATCTTGCAGACCTGCGTTCAATCCCACGCCCGGCCAGTGAGTGGTAACCCCGGCCATTCCTTGCACACAGGGGGAGGTTTGGAAGCAATATACAACAGACAGTATGTCACAGCAAAGAATATCCACTGTAACAAATGTGATTAAAACTAAATCTTTAAAATCTTTAATCCCCCTTCCCCTACCCCCCTCCTCTCCCTCTCTCACTCCCCATACCCTTACCATACCCCTTTCCCTTCCCTTTCCCCCTCCTTTTTTCCCCTCTCACTCCCTCTATCCTTCCACTTCCCATTCTCCTCCCATCCCTCCCTCTTCCTCTCCTCTTCTCTCCCTCTCCCTCTCTTTCTCTCCCTCTTCCCCCTCCCATCCCTCCCTCCTCCCATCCCTCTCCCTCTTCCCTATCCACTCCCTCTATCCTTCCCCTCCATTCTCCCTCTCCCACTCCTCTCTCCCTCTCCCTCCTCCCCCCCCCCCCCGCTCCTTAACTCCCTCTCGCCCTCCTTGCTCCTAAATCACATCAGGAAAGTTAGGCCGAGACCCGACCGGCGCTGGAGTCCTCGGGCGCGGCAGAGAGAGCGGCGAGGCGGCGGGCGTCCTCGTGCGCTGTCTGCCTCGGTTCACGCCCTCTCTCTCGTGTCGATGGAAAAGATGTGAATGGGTGAAATAAATAGATAAATAGATAGATATCTGTCAATGAGGGCAGATCTATCTAAAGAAAGCAGAAAAAGGGAAAGAAAAGAACAAAGATAAATAAATAAATAGATAGATAGATTGATAGATATATTTATAGATAGACAGACTGAGGGATTGATAGATATATAGATAAAACAGATTGAGAGGTAGATACATTTATAGAAAAACAGATTGAGGGATTGATAGATATATAGATAAATAAATTGAGAGGTATATACATAAATAGATATATGGATTGCGAGGGATATACATTTATAGATAAACAGATTGAGGGATAGATAGATATATAGATACATAGATTGATAGACAGATACACAAATAGATAAAAGATGAATACATAAATAAATCAAATCAGTTGTACATGAAAATAAACATAAATAGTTACATACATAATCAATCCTAAACAGTTAAACAAATAAATAAATAAACAGACAAATAAATAAACAATTGGATATAACACCCTGGGAAAAAAATACGCACAGATACATTCATACATAAGCATCACTTACATTTACATCATCATTTATAAACTAAACAACATGCCGCCACACACACGCTCTGCACACGGCCCGCTCCTCCCGCCGGCGCCAAATTCAAAAACACTCGACCGGGCGCTGTCTATCGGCTCGGAAGTGATCTATCGCTTGTCTGGCCATGGCACCACAACGCAATGTGGTATTGACTGAGTGGTGGTGGTTGTTGGTGGGTGGTTGGGGGTGGTATGGTGGAGGGGGAGGGGGGGAAGGGAAGGGGAGGAGGAAGGGGAGGGGGAGGGAGGAGGGAGGGGAGGTGGAGGTGGAGGTGAAGTGGAGGTGGAGGGGGAGGTGGAGGGTGAGGTGGGTGGAGGTGAGGGGTGAGTGGTGTGGAGGTGGAGGGTGAGTGGGTGGTGAGTTGAAGGTAGAGGTACCCGCCTACCATACTCCTTCGCGGGGCAAGATGGCGCCGTACCAACTCTCGTTATTCCCGCCCCTCCCTCCATCCCCCCTCCCCCCCTCCCCCGCAATCGCCTTCCGGCAGAGGTTTCCAGCGATAAACGGTCGGTATTACCCCCCCCCCCCTCCCCTCGGTCAATGGAGGGAGCACCGATGGCATGGAAGGAGGGGGGGGCTTACCCCGGTTGGGAGAGAGAGGGAGGGAGGGAGGGAGGGAGGGAGGGAGGGAGGGAGGGGAGGGAGGGAGGGAGGGAGAGAGAGGGAGGAGAGAGAGAGAGAGAGAGAGAGAGAGAGAGAGAGAGAGAGAGAGAGAGAGAGAGAGAGAGAGAGAGAGAGAGAGAGAGAGAGAGAGAGACGAGAGAGAATGAGAGAGAGGAGAGAGAAGAAGGAAGGAGAGAAAAGATGAATGAATGGATGGAAAGGAGAGAGGAAGAAAGGGAAGAAGGAAGGAAGGAAGGAAGGAAGGAAAGAAGGATGGAAGGGAGAGAGGAAGAAAGGATGGAAGGAATGAAGAGAGGGAAGAAGATGCAGGGCGATTTTCGGGGGGGGGGGCGAGATGGGCGAGGGAGGGAAGTTGTGACTCACCTTGGATTTGCTTAAGGGAGAAAGTAAGACAAAAAGTGATGATGACGGAGATCGAAGAGAGGAAGCAAGAAGGGAGGGAGACAAGGGAGAGGAGAGGAGAGAGAGAGAGAGAAAGAAAAGAGAAGGAAAAAGACAGAAAATCAGGAAGGAAAGAAAGCAGAAAAGAAAGAAAGAAAAGAACAAAGAAAGAAAAAAAGAAAAGAAAAGAAAAGAAAACAAAAACACAACAAGAAAAGAAGAAAACAACAACAAAGCAAGGACAACCCATGTCCCCCGACGCCCCGCCCTCAGGCCCGAGTGGCGACGCACCTGCACGATGAGGGGGCGGTCCTCCGGGCAGGACGCGAGGTTTTCCTTCCTGTACCTGGCGTCCTTCACGAACACATGCGAGTGCAGCATCGGCGTGTAGCACAGGTCGGCTCCTGGGGGGAATAAGCAGAGTTAAATCCTACAAAGCGGTGGAAATACAAACACATACAAAATACTAGAAATACTAGAAGCTCTCGGAAAGCGCATACCTCCGCCAAGGCAATAATAAGGTCACTCTTACTGCTATTTGTAGACTTTGGAATAGATTGCCTTCGGAGATTGTAACTTCTAAGACTCTTGGTGAGTTTAAAAGATCAGCTAACATAATTTGTCTTACGTAAATAGCTGACTTTCTATTCTTTCATTCTTTCTTAGCTGCATCTTGGCCGGCACTGACACCTTTGGTGGTATAAATCTCGATTTTTTCAGTATGGCTCTTTATAAAGCTTACTATAATAATAATAATAATAATAATAATAATAATAATAATAATAATAATAATAATAATAATAATAATAATAATAATAATAATAATAATAATAACAATAACAATAATTGCAATAAAAAGTCTTTACAATTGAAGAATTACATTAAAATCGCCACTTTCTCAAGTACATTTGGTGACGTCCTGTGTTTCCCTATCTCGCAATGCTGATGAATCCTTTTTAAAAAAAGATCCTGGATCCGGATTGCGGTCCAATTCACCACCAATATCTAATGGCATCTACGTTAGGCTAAGGTACACTTCTAGTAAAAAAATCATAAAAAATCCGTCCATAGCTTTTCGAGTTATCCTGCAAAACCGACAAACCAACAAACTAACCAATGTGACAAAAACCTAACCTTGGCGGAGATAATAAATAAATCCATAATAAATAAAACATACATACCTATTACTATCATCTATATTATCTATCTATCTGTCTACCCATCTACCTATCAATCTATATTATCTATCTATCTACCCATCTACCTATCTATCTATATTATCTATCTATCTACCATCTACCTCTCTATCTATATTATCTATCTGTCTACCCATCCACCTATTCAATCAATCTATATTATCTATCTATCTACCCATCTACCTATCTATCTATATTATCTATCTATCTACCCATCTACCTATCTATCTATATTTATCTATCTATCTACCCATCTCTACCTATCTATCTAATATAATATATATAAGTATAAGATAACATTCAACCATAATGCCTTTAAAAAGCCCATTACCCCAAAATTCCCTTCCCCAAAAACTCTCGCAAGGTAGGTTTTACTACAACATTAGCCTCCACATTCTGTCTTCTCCAACAAACGTCTGATGAGTATCACCTGAACCTTCCTTCCTCCCTCTTTTTTTCTCCCTCAATCCTTATCATCTGAACATTACTTCTTCCCTCCTTCCTTTTTTTCCTTACTCAATTCGACCAAAGCTTTCCCTTTTCTTACCTCTCACGCATTGCCCCTTTTATCAGCGTCTGTCCTTCCCCTTCATTTTGCCCCCCCCCCCTGTCCCTCCCCCACCCTCGCTCCCTCCTGTTACTCCCCCTTCGCCCTCTTGCCCTTTTTCCTTCCGTTTCCGTATTCCTTGTATTTTCTATGTAAATGGGTTTAAATGAATGAAATGAATGTATGTGTGTATGTGTGTGTATGTGTGTGTGTATGTGCTGTGTGTTGTGTGTGTTGTGTGTGTGTGTGTGGTGTGTGTTGTGTGTGTTGTGGTGTGTGTGTGTGTGTGTGTGTGTGTGCGCCGTGTGTGTGTTGTGTGTGTGTGTGTGTGTGTTGTGTGTGTGTGTGTGTGTGTGTGTGTGTGTGTGTGTGTGTATTGTGTGTTATGTGTGTGTGTATGTGTTGTGTGTGTGTGTATGTGTGTGTGTGTGTGTGTATGTGTGTGTGTGTGTTTGTGTGTGTTGTTTTGTGTGTGTGTGTGTTGGTGTGTGTGTGTGTGTGTGTGTGGTGTGTTGTGTGTGTGTATGTGTTGTGTGTGTATGTGGTGTGTGTGGTGTGTATGTGTGTTGTGTGTGTTGTGTGTTGTGTGTGTGTGTTTGTGTGTGTGTGTTTGTGTGTGTGTGTGGTGCGTGTGTTGTGCTGTGTACTGTATGTGCGTGCGGTATTTGTATCCACCCGTATCCGAATATGTACACGCAAGTTCCGTGCGAGCCTGTGCATACAGGTGCGCGAGCCTCCCCACACCTGCTCCTCCGCGGGGCGCCTCTCTCCCAGGGCGGGGCGGCGGAGGCCATCCACGTCAAAAGCTCGTCTGGGCTTCGGGCGCTCCTTCCCTCCTCCCGGGGCTTCCCAGGGGCTTCGCGGAGGGCCCTGCGGTTGGGGGGGGGGCGAAGGAATCCCCCTGGCCGAGAGAGGGTTTCCACCGAGGGCAAAGCGTGGGAGGTGGGGAGGGGAGGGGGTAAGTGGGGAGATTGGGGAGAGGAGTCGACGAGGAGGGGAGGAGGAAAGGTGAGAGAGGAGGATGGGAGGAGAGAGAGTGAGGGAAGGAGTGACTGAAGACGAGAGGGAGGGAGGAAGGGGAAGAAGAGGGAGTGGAGGGAGGAGGGAAGAAGCGAGGGTGGTGGGGGAGTCAGAGAAAGAGAGTGTACCCTCTACATCCTTTTTAAGAACCTCTAAACCCTTTCCTTACACACAACATCCACACCCACACAAACACACACCCATACATACACATGAACAGACAGGACGCAACAAAAACAACAGCACACAGATCACACACACATCCTACAACAACGTACTATCGCATACCACGACTCAGGCACACACAACACACACCTACTACGCAGACCCCACCCACGCAACACACACACGACCCAAACCGACACGACACATCAACACACGCGAACACAACTACTAACACACACACAACACTATCACCAACTACTATCATCAGCAACTAACACACAAATCCACCACACCCACCACCCACGACGCCGACATGCCTATGACCCACCCTACGACCAACACCGTCGCATCCACCAGCCACCAACGATATCGACACCACCTATCCACCCACTCGTAATCCTATGCGTCAGCTAGCTACTCACGACATCACTATCCCCACAGCCCCACGTGAACCTCCAGCGCACCTCACCCTATCCCAGACACAACAGCGGAGCACACACCACACGCAGCACCACTACCAACCGAGGATCCGCACCGTCACGAAATCGGTACATTTGCACCGCGGCCCTCTTTAGGGAGTGCGACGACACTTACACGATAATGCACTGCTCCCGCCGAAGTACGGCATCCGTAGATCGACGGTGGCGTGCGTCCAAGGCGTCGGTGGAATCCAAAAACATGCTGAAACAAAAAAGGAAGGAGGGAACGGGTCAAATGGAGTAAGATCAGCGAGAAGTCAAAAAAGCACTCTTTCAGTAATCATGTAAAATGGTATAATAAATAATTAGGGAGGAAAGTCGCAGGAGGAGGCTCTTGACTGTGGCAGGAGTAGGGCAGTGAGTGACTCTACGAAGGTGAAATGTATATGGTTAATAGGCTGATATGGTGGTCCTAAAAGGAGATGGTAGAAGAGACGTGAGTGACGGAACATTTGAACAGGGAGGAGAGAAATTAAGCGGAAAGACTGAAGCAATGGAGATGAGAGAAGTAGGAAGAGTGAGAGGAGGGGAACGTGGTAGGCGGGAGGAAGGGAGGGAGGAGCGTGATGCGGAGGGAGGAGGGAGGAGGGAGCAGAGAGGAGAGAGAGAGAGAAGAGAGAGAGCTGAGAGAAGAGCAGAGACGATCGCAGAGAGAGCAGAGAGAGCAGAGAAGAAGAGAGAGGAGAGAGAGAGACGAGAGAAACCCCACACATCCTAATGTGAAAATAATGAATACAGTCAGGTGTAAAGGAGAGAAAATATGCAAATCAATTCATAAAAAGGGACAACTATTCCGACATTTTTCTTATTTTTTCCCTTGTATGCGCGCGCCTGAGTGAAAACGAGTACCCCAAGGCATCCGATGTTCCCGCATGGTACAAAATCATCCCAATCTGAACAATATACCAGAAATCTGCTTCTCACCAAAAAGACTAATAAATAAATATTAAAAAAAAGAAATTCTCCCAACAAAGACTAATAAATAATAATATTTAAAAAAAAAAAGAAATCCCCGTCAAAGACTCGAATAAACTAATTAATACAAAAATCCCCGTCGGGCTCGAACCCACTCCAACCCGGAGGCGACGTCGCGGGCGACGGGCGCGAGCGAGCGACAGGAGGAAGAGCAGCTCCTCCTCCAGCGTCGAGGAGGAGATAGCGGCCTCTCAGCGCCTCCCCGGCCTCGCCCTCAGCCCCTAATGGCGATGCAGAAAGGCACTCGGGAGCCTAACGAGGGGTCATTAGCATAATGTTGCCTTTCGGGGCAGCATGGCAACGGCGGCGGGCGGAGGGCGGGGCGGAGTCTGAGGAAGGGCTTTATGGCCCGGCACTTGCCATTGCACAAAGGCGACGTTGGAGGAAGACGGAGATGAAGAAGAAGGAGGGGAAGAGAGGAGGAGGAGAAGAAGGGAGGAAGAGAAGAAGAAAAAAAATAATAATAATAAGTAGGAGTAGGAGAAGAAGAAGAAGCAGAAGAGGGAGGAGTAGTAAAAGTAGAAAAAAAAAAAAAGAGGAGGAGGAGAAAAAGAAGAAGAGAAGTAGAAGTAAAAAAGAAAGAAAAAAAAACAGGTGAACAGAAATAGAATTCGCTTCACACACACACACAAAAGAGAGAGAAAAAACACTACCATGCGCTGAGGAAGATAATGTTATGAAAATGTGACGCTGCGATTCGGGCAAACAATTTCCCCCGTGCAGCATATGATGACAACATGTCGCCCGCCGGAATGAGGTGAGTTCAGCGCCGAGCCAAACTTTCCATAACACAGCGCTCGCGCCTCAAAACAATAGTATCCCACACAGGCCTGCAATCAATGCACTTACACTTACACATACACACACACACACAGTGAGAATGAAAGAGAAAAAAGGTGGGAAAAAGAGAAAGATAGATGTAGATAGATAGATAGACAGATAGATGGGATGGGTAGAGTGTGAGAAAAAGAGGGAGAGGAAGGGGACTGGAGAGAGAGAAGAGGTAGAGAGAGAGAGAGATAGAGAGAGAGAGAGAGAGAGAGAGAGAGAGAGGAGAGAGAGAGAGAAGAAGAGAGAGATGAGTAGAGAGATGAGAGGAGAGGAGAGAGGAGAGAAAGAGCGAGAGAGAATGGAGAGAGAGAGATGATGAGAGAGAGAGAGAGATTGAGAGAGAGTAGAGAGAGAGAGAGAGAGAGAGAGAGAGAGAGTAGAGAAGACGGGAGGGGGGAGAGAAAGAGAGAAAAAGGAAAGAAAGAAGTTAGAAAGAGATAGGGTAGGTGGAGGAGAGAAGAAAAAGAAAGAGAAACCGAGAAAGAAAAAGAGAAAAAAGAAGACAAGTGAGGAAAGAGGAGAGAAGAAAAAAAAAAAGGAAGAGAAAAGAAGAGACGCAAGGAGAAGAGAAAAATCAAGAAAGAAAGAAAAGAGCAATAGAAAAAATTGAATATGAAGTGAGCAAAGAAGAAAAGAGAAAAATAATATGCGAAGAGAGGAGAACAAGAAAAAATTAATGAGAGAGAAGAATAGGAAATAGCGGAGAGCAGACAAGAGAAGAGAAGAAGAGAGAGATCAGCACCGAAGCCGCCCATCCCGAATCTCCAAGGGCTCTGATCGGAATCGCCCTCGCTGACGCAACGGGGGCCGAGCGCGCACGAACTAAAGCCCATCAATATGCGACGGCCTTCGATTGCAACACTGGCCTGCCCATCACGGCGAGAGAGGGGGGGCTTTTCTTGAGGGGTTCTCTCCTCTCTCTCTCTCTCTTTCTCTTTTTTTATTTTCTCTCTCTCCTCTCTCTCTCTCTTTTTATTCTCTCTGTCTCTATGTCTATGTCTGCCTCTGTCTCTTCTCTCTCTCGTCTCTCTCTCTCTCTCTCTTTCTCTTTCTCGCTCGTTCGTCTCTCTCTCTCTCTCACCCTCTTTTTTTCTTTCTCTCTCTCTTCTCTCACTCTCCTTCTCTCTTTCTCTTATTCCCTCTCTCTCCTAATCTCTTTCTGTCTCTCCTCCTCACTCTTCTCTCTCTCCCTCTCCCTCTTTCTTTCTCTTCCCCTCTCTTTCTTCTCTCTCTCCCTCTTCGGTAAGATAGTGTGTATAGGCTCTTGTTCTTTTTCCTTCTTTCTTTCTTCCAGTTTTCCTTCCTTTCTTCATTTCTTTTACTTTCTTTTCTTGTCTTTATTCTTTCTATCGTTTTTTTTTTTCTTTTAATACAGTCTTTTGCCATGATTATCTCCATTCCTTTTTTCCCTCCTTCGTGACTTATTCCCTCTGCCTTTCGTTCTCTCTCGCTTTTTCCTTTAGTTCCCCCTTCAATTTTCCCACCCACGTGTATCCTCACTCCCCCTTCCCCTCCTCTTTCCTCCTAAATCCTTGCTCTTCACCTCCCCACCCCCACCCATCCTCCTCTCTCCCCACACACCCACCCACCATCCCGCCCCACCCGCCCACCCACTCGGCAAATCCATCTTCTCCCGCTCACATTTCTCCGTCTGATCTCCCTCTCCCTCTCCCTCTCCCTCTCTCTCCTCACGCCATCCACCTCTTCCTTCCTCCCCCTCCACCCCTAATACACACCCAAATCTACCTCCCCTTCTCCCCCTTCCAGAGCGCCTTCCATCCCTGCCAAATCTAAACACCCACTTTCTCTTGTCTCGCTTCTTCTCTCTCTCCCTCCCTCCTTCTTTTCTCACTCTTCCCTCCCTCCTCCCCCTTCCTTTCCCCCTAACCTTCGACCAGCCTCCATCACTCCCTCCTTCCCAACCACTCTCTCTCTCTCTCTCTCTCTCTCTCTCTCTCCTCTCTCTCTCTCTCTCTCTCTCTCTCTCTCTCTCTCTCTCTCTCTCTCTCTCTCTCTCTCTCTCTCTCTCTCTCTCTACTCTCTCTCTCTACCCCTCAACTCTCTCTCTCTCTCTCTACCCCAACTCGTCTCCCTCCCTCCCTCCCACCTTCCCACCCACCCTCTCTCCTCCTCTCCCACCCACCCTCTCCTCCTCTCTCCCACACCACCTCTCCCACCCCACTCCTCTCCTCCCCACCGCACCCCATCCTCCTCCCATCACCACCTCCTCTCCTCCAACCCTCCCAACCACCCACCACCAACCCTCTCCTCCTCCCCCACCCCACGCCACCCAAACCCTCTCTCCTCCCCCCACCCCCCGCCCTCTCTCCCCCGAAGCACTCACCGTATCCGAGACAGGAGGCGCCAGGCCAGGCCTCGGAGGCGTCCACCATGGGCGCGACCACCAGGCGCGGGCTCTTCAGGACGTCCCGCAGAAGTCGTAGCCTCGCGGACCCGGCATCACCTGCAGGAGGAAGCGAGGGGTTATTGGGGACGCGCAAGGGGTAGGGAAGGAGGAGGGGAGGGAGGGAGGGAGAAAGGAAGGAATGAGTAGGGTGGGTGGGGATGTGGAATATGTGTATGTGTATGTATGTATGTATGTGTGTGTGTGTGTGTGTGTGTGTGTGTGTGTGTGTGTGTGGTGTGTGTGTGTGTGGTGTGTGTGTGTGGGTGTGTGTGTGTATGTGTGGTGTATGTGTGTGTGTGTGTGTGTGGGTGGTGTGTGTGTGTGTGGTGTGTGTGTGTGTGTGTGTGTGGTGTGTGTGTGTGTGTGTGTGTGTCATGTATAAGCGAATGTATGCATGCGAACATTTTCGTCCCTATTCCCATGTGCATCAAAGCACAGGCAAGCACGACAACCGCGGGTATCGTCCCACATCCTGAGCACTCCCCCCCCCCCTTCGCCGGCAGCAGCACGGACCAAGGCCTCTCCAAGGACCCCTTCACCAGGGACGCCCCCCCCCCCCAGTTCCTCCGGCGCGCCTGTAATCGAGGCGGGACGGCGGCCGCGGCGGCAGGTGGCGCCAGCCGGGGAGGCGGCGGTGTCTCCTGGCCCGAGGCACGGACGGATCCCGGGCACGGACGCCGGGCGGAGGGCGTCCGTGTCTCGAGGGGCTGGCACGGCGCTGGCTCTCGCGACACGGAAAT